CCAGCCTCCTCCGTATCTGCAAGTAAATCAAAACCCTCCCTCAACCGTAGATCTACAAGGAGATGATATCGAATCACCGCACGTAGATCTAATCGGAAAGAAGAAGAATAAGAAAAAGGAGGGGAAGGGAGAGAGAAAATGATGGCCAGATCTGGCCGAGAAAGGAAAGGAGAGAAAGAAGAAAAAGAAGAAAAAGAGGGGGGAGTGAGAGTGGCGTGTTTTTGCTGAGAAAAGAAAGGGAGAAAGATGGAAAAGGAGAGGAAGAAGAAATGAAGAAGAAGATAATTGGGAGAAAGAAAAATAGAAGGGGGAGGGGGGAAGAGAGAAAGAACGAGAGAGAAGAAAAAGAAAGGGACTGGCCAGGTCTGCGAGAAAGGGGGGAGAAGAAAAAAGAAAAAGGAAGAAAGAAAGGAATAGAAGAAGGGGTATTTTAGGAAGAGTGAGTATGAAAACGTAGAATGGAAACTTAATTTCCGGACGGAGAAAAACGTAGAGTGGGAACATAAAAACCGGACGGAGAGAGTATTATTTTTTATTCACAATACGAAAAAAGTTAGGTTAGCTTTGACCAACATGATTCACTATGCATTTTTGGGCCTTCTTATCAAGGCAAGTTGTTGCATGCACATAAGGTGGTTTATGGTAAACATTCATATATACGGAATATTAAATAAGTATTTTCAAGTGTTGAAGTAAGTATTTTTGGACATTGATTTAACGTTATCTAAGTACTTCTATTTCTACATGACGTCTTAAAGCTAAATGTGTATTTTTAATTACTTTTTTCTTGAATGAAAAAAGTATTTTAAATTTGTTGGTTTTACAAGTCTAGGCATTGCATGAAGCCATTAACTATTTAGGGCCCGTTTGGGAATAGCGTTATAGATTAGCGTTAGCGTTTTGGATAAAATTTTAACGGTGCAGATTGCTTTGAAAACGCTATCGCTAAATGCTGTCCGTCGATAGTCTTTTCAAAACGCTAACGCCAATCGCTAAAGCTAATCTCAAACAGGCCCTTAATAGAAAGCTCAAACCATCACCAAAACGTGAAACAAGCTCTGCACATACACATATGATATACTCTTTCTTCCACTGCAATGCCTCTGCAAATTCATTCATTCTACCACTCACTGCACCAGTCATCACAATACAACCTTTTTTTTTTGGCCTACCCTTACTTGAACAAGAACAGAGTATACTCACTATACATCTGGAAAAAAAAAACCCTTTTTTTTTCTTGCAAAACCTTTTTTTATTTTTTATGGAGAATTCAAAGGAGAGTGTTGCGTTGAATAAATTAAGAAGAAGCTAAGGATCAAGATCATAGAGCACACCAGCATATCGATGATCGAGGAGAAGATGAGGCCGGGTGGCTTTGAGCTTGAAGAAGACACGAGACGTCAGCAGGCTGTCAGAGCCAGCTTGGTGGGCGTTCCCGGCGGCTCTCTTCACGCCCAAATCTCCGGCGACCCTCGCCAGCCCGCCATAGATGTCGTTGCAGGCTCTGATCACGTGTTTTACGTCATAGAACACCGGGAAGAACAGCTTCACCAGTTTCAGAAACTCCCCCTGAGTCTCCGGGAGGGAACCGATCCCTTCTCCCCCTCTCTTCGTCCCCGTCAGCCCCTGAACCAGGTACCCGAAGTCGGAGGACCCGTGGAAGGTGACCCATTGAACATCCGGGTTCAGAACCGCCCCGGACGACACCAGAAGCTCGTAGAACTGGTCGGAGCTCACCCCCTCCGTCTTGTTCCTCCTGAAGTCCGTCCCACATTCCCGGAGCATCTCTACGGAGTCGTGGGCGTGTGGGTCCGCCTCCGGGTCGAACTCCCGGAAGTTGAACTGCCAAACGTGGCCTCTCCCCGTCCCCAAGGTCGGGAGGTTCCCCTCGGCGTCGGAGAAGGTGAGGCCCACCTGAATCAGCTTCAGAATCTCCACATTGTCTTTCATCTTCCGGTAATTGTACCCCGTGCGCCCCAACTGCTCCAAACTCGCTCCGCCGCACGCCTGGACGACCACTCCCGGGAACTCCGTGTCCATGGCGATGTACGGGTAATCGTCCACTATGTTGCTGATGATTCCGAATTCGGCTTCCAGATTGTGACCCCATACATCCCTGATCTCGACTGCCTCCTCTTCCCGTTCTTCCATGGCCAAGATTCTGAGCTGATGATTCATTATAACAGAGCAAGAAAATTTGGGATTCAAGAATCCAGACGGGAAAAAAAAACAAGATTCAAGTAGCTAGAACCCTTGCCCCGAAATGTCTAGTAGACGAATTGGAGTTTTGAATTAAAAAAAAAATCAGAATCCAAAACTGTTAAGAACAGAGCTTCAAGAATGTGAGCTATGGGAGTTGAGGGATTCTAATATAACAGAGCAAGAAAGAAATCAAGATTTCAGAGCTGGGAAATTTCTGCAAACAGGATTCAAGTAGAACCCATGTCTGAAAACCCCCGTCCAGATAAATAGAAATACCGAAATGTGTATCTATCAGAATCAAGGAAGTCAATTACAGGAAAAAGATTGAGATTTAAGAACATACCTTCAAGAATGTGAGTTCTGGACTTCGATTGTTCAAGTGGCGATTCTGGCCTTCAAAATTGCAGGAGGATAAATGGAAATTTTTATGTTTTCTTTTTTTTCTTTGTTTGGGAGAAACGAAGGATGAGAAATCTGGGAGAGAGAGAGCTTGAGTGCGAAAATGGGAATTCCCTTTGGCGATAAGAGAAAACAGAGAGTGGTTTCAAGAAATTGCAGAAAAGGGAGTTGCAGAGAGAGGGGTTGAAGCCATTTATAGGTAACGGCGCGCGAATGGGAGGGAGGAGAACACGAATTAAAGTGTGGGGGGGGATAAATTTTTGAATTTGTTTTACCGAATACTCCAAAGTACGGGGTAAGTAGATATGAGTCACAAATATTTACCCTACCCCTTTTCTATCACATATTTCAGTTTAGTATAGAATTTTACGTTGCACGATCTCATGCCATAAATTTTGGTTTGGAATGATTCGAGATAGTTTAGTATCGATTTCAGGATAAATCAGTATGAATACATACACACCTATTTTACATTTTAAAATGTCACAAAAATATTTTTTTAAGGAAATGGAAAGTATATTTAAATAAAAAAATGAAAAAAGTAAATGTAAGAAATGCTTAAGAAACTTAGTTTATATTTCACAAACTACAGAAAACGAATGATAACAAAATAATATTTCAAATGTGTGTTAATATTTTTAAATTCTTTTACAAAAAATTTATACTCAAATAAAAGTAAAATGTACATATAATAAAATTTGAGCCAAATTTTAAAAATAAACTTACTCCCTCCGTTCTAAAACTTTCTTCCCGTTGCGCAAAACGAAGAAAAATCTCAAGTTTTTTCAATCTATTTTATTTAAATATTGGTATAGAAATAAAAAATAAAACATACATATTTAAAAACTACATCAAAAGTTTAACAAAACAAGTGGTGACAAGAATATTTTATTTTATCATATAGGCCATGAAAAACAAAAATAAATATATAAATTCCCGTGAAGTTGGAATAGTAATCTGGAAAGAAAGTTTTAGGACGGAGGGAGTATTATTTTATGAAAACATATAAAAAATTAATATATTTATAATACATTATTATAAAAACTTGGTTTGGGGTTTTTGGAATGGAGGTAGCCTCGTAAGCCGTACCGTCTCAAATACGAACTGAACATTTGGTTCAGTACGGTTCGATATTTTAGCGGTATTTTTTTGTTCGATTTTCTTGATTTTTTCGATAATTTCGGTATCGATTCGGTACTTGCTCATTCTTACATATTTCATTTATTAAATATTGGGAAATTTAATTAAATACATAATCAATTTTCTACGTCATTACGTGATGACATTGCATTTTTGTTCCACCATTGTATGTAGTGCTATTAGGGTGTTCCGAATTTGATTAAGATGACTCGTTTCATTACCTGACTTTAATTTTCAAGCTTATAAGTCTAATTCTTAGCTTTAAATTTCATATTACATATTTCTAAATTTAGAACTCGGTCAAAAATTAAGATTAAAAAATAATATGTAACTCCGTAGTATGTTCATTTTTAATGAGGCCCCGTTTGGTATATGGAATTCAAACCATTGATTGAAATTGAAGACTTCAATTCCAATTCTGGTGTTTGGTAGCACAAAAATTATGTGGATTTTGAATTGATAGTGCAAAAAATGAATTGGAATTGACAGAATTCAATTTTATGGAATTTAATCCTGTGGAATTTCAATTCTAATTTAATTCTAATTCCGTCAATTCCGTATACCAAACGGACCCTAATAGAATTTCCGAAAGAGTATACTGGATATTTAACCAGTCCTAAGAGTACAAGGTTCTTTCAAAAAAAAATATTCTTTCTATTTAAAGCATCTTTAGTGGTTAGTTTAGGAGTACATAGATAAACAACATCTATTTTCATAAGTAACTTTTTCATAAGCAACTTCTTGGATAAATGAAATAACATGATTGGTGTTTCACATGAGTCACATATTAACTTTTTTTAAGTTAAGCAACTCCTTAAGGGTCCGTTTGATACACAGAATTGATAGAATTGGAATTAAATTGAGAGTTGAAATTTTATGGAATTGATTTGAATGGAATTGAATTCTCCAATTCCAATACATTTTTGACACTACGAATTCCAAATCCATATATTTTTGTGATACCAAACAGCAAAATTAGAATTGTTATTCTCAATTCCAATTTCATAATTTAAATTCTATGTACCAAATAGAGCTCAAGAGTTTTGCATAAAATATGCTCTTACATTTCACTATTTGACTAATTTTACTTCTCATATATTCTCTTCCCTTCAAGGGAAATGTCTTCCCTTTTCCTCCTTCAATTATTATAATTATTTTTTAACACTTATTTTAGTTTAAATAATTAATCTAAAAACAAAAATAATAATTAAAATTTACTTTTTAAATTTTATTATTATTTTTAAATGCTTAATTTAATTAAAATAATTAAACTAGATATATAAAATACAATTAAATAATATAAACTTACAAAAACTCAAAATAAAAAAAACTTAAAAACTATTTAAATCTAAGTTTCTTTAGACCTTAATTTCTTTAGACCAAAAACTTAAGTTTCTTTAGACCATACATTCAAGTTTCTTTAGACCATAATTTCTTTTAGACCTTTTCATATACCTTTTGTTTTCCTTTTTTAAATAAAAGTTTATAATATTTATTATAATAGTAAGCAAATACTTACTTCCATAATCAATAGGGGGTACCAAAGGCATCTTTTCATGTATCTCAAACGATAGAAGGGAAATGCTAGAGTCGGATATTTAAATATCACAAAATATATAAACTTTTTGTTTTTGTATCTCATCAGGAAAAGAAATGATTTTTTAATGATTGAAAGTATAAATTCAAATACACAAAGAATAAATATGTGTTTTTTGAAACCCTTATATTTGGGATTCTTGCATATATATGATGCGAATCTTTGTGCAAAAAAAAAAATCGCAAAACAAAAGAAACAATCAACCAAATCTAACGTGTAAATAGTCACAAATAAAAATAACAAAAATCATAAACTTGTTATTTTTGAATTTAATTTGAATTCTTAAATAACTGACAATTCTTTTAGTGAGATAATGATACGGAATGTTTGTGGATTTTGTAATCTTTTTTATTTGTTCAAATTGCAGTTGTCTACATGGAGGAAACACTACTACCTTTTGTTAGTTTCAAGATGTTAGCTAATTTTTTTGGTAAAACAAAACTTCATATATATTTTAAGTTTTACTAGGTAAAATCCTCAATTTTTGTAAAGATAAATTTATTTTATTTAGATTTTTAGATACTACAGTTTTAGATTTCTGAATACGACATGATATATTGGTATTTTACTATATTTTTATTATTCGCATTATTAGCACGATAAATCTTATTTACAGCCTTCTTAAAAACGTTTTACAAAAGAAATACAACAAAGGATAAGATCTTTTTATAGAATAGAGGTGGAAGGGAGTACAAGATACTGTATAATCGAACTTGGTTTTAAATGCAAAGTAATAAATAAGCAGCGTTCACAATTCAATCACAAGCTCTTGTAGCTCAGTTGGTTAGAGCACCCGTTTAGTAAGCGGGAGGTCTTGAGTTCGACTCTCAACAAGAGCACTCTGATTTTTTACTCCGTCAATTTTTCCCTCTAGACGCGATTTGTTTTTGGTTATCCAATTTTGCCTGTGGTTGGGCCCAACATAATTTAAGGATATTTGCTTCTCTTCGGACCCAATTCATAAATAAGCCCAGTAAGAGGAGAGACGATCTTTTAAGCAAACAATTACCAACCCATAGAAAAAAAGCCCATTAAACAAAGACGATGGTTTTTAACGAAACAGATCGACGAACGTGGATTTTTTTAGACAAAAGGATAAAGAGACGAATAAAATTATTTGTTTCCTTTGGAGTTTCGATTTAGTTTTTTCCCTTTTCCAATTGTGCTTCTCTAATTTTTGTATAAAGGAATTTACAAACAGGTCAATTAGGTGAGGTTTGGGTTTGGTTTCTTTGGATTTGCATTAATTGAGATTCTGGTGAATTCAAATTAAGGTTTGAAAATGTATTTGATGACGTAGAATAATCGCGTCCAGACTACAGATCGACTAACGGATTATGAATGTTTGTTTTTTAAAATGATTAAATGTATGTTAGCATATAACTTTCACATATAAAATGTTGAAACACACAGGCACGTTTAAGCTACTATAGAGTATAATATTCTTTAGATCTTTTTATTAATTTTTAGAAGTATACAACAATATTATACTCTGGGCGACCTAAAAAACTTCCTAATTGGATTAGGCAGGCAGGGAGCAGTGTAACTTTTTTATAAATACATATAATGTTTGGAAAGCGTAAAATAACTATTCGATATCATTACAATTGTTTGAAGAGATAAGTATATAAACTAAATAGGAGTAATAATTTTTTTGAGGAAATAAAAAAACTAATAATATAAAAATATTTTTATCATTTTATGTTTCGTTCGGGTTTGATACATTCTTAAATACTTATTTCAGGTTCAATCCTTTTTATCATTTTGGTTTGGGTCGCATAATCCATGTTCACAAATTATTATTTTTGCGTTGGAATTTGGGTAAAAATGAATCAAGTAAAATTTTGTCAGCTCTATAATTTTTCATCACCGGTTAAAAAAAGCCTAGCCCTAAAGGACCCTAGTGGTTTTTATAAAAATATGAGGACCAACGAGTGCTTGCAAAAAAAACTTGCGTCACCCCAAACTATAATATAGCGATTAGTTGTTGAGAAGCATGGTAGAATTTATAGGATGAGGTAGTGATAACTGGATTGGGAAATACCAGACACTTGAATTGAATCACATTAAAAGATTGAACCCAATCGATTAGTTAGTTCAATTCAAGAGTTTATATACCGATTTTTTTGCTCTTGAACTTCCAATGTGGCATGACACTCTAACAAAGCATGATATATATAGCGCTTATCCTACGTGATGGGTGTATTTCACCCAAGACCGGTCAAAGGAGAAGGCCAAATCTTTGACCGGTCAATCTCGAAAGTTTTGGAAGGGAGACTTTAATCGTCAGCAAAACGATATATCATCGGCCAAAATATGACCGGTACACTTCACAAAAAGTATACCGGTCAAACTACATTGTCATCCTATTTGTTCCAGACTTCGATAAATTCATCCCTCGGAGATTACCCGGTGTAGTTTCTGGGGTTGGAAAGTGTCGGCAGGAGAGGATCTGCGAG